CGCAAAATCGAACCACGAATCAAGTGCAAGTAGTTTCTTTTGCATTGATTAAGTTAGGGCACTACTATATAAGGCCAAAGACGTCGACAAAACGAACTTTGATAAAGGGGTGTTTGTATGGTAGGGTTTTCTTTGGAAAGCATTTAAGTGCCATTATTCGAGAATTTAGTGCTGAAACGTAAGGTTAAACCTCCATTACTTGCTCCATTATCAATCATTTATTGTTGAAATCGATAGAATTCGTTGTGGACTAGACTTAAGTCTACATTAAGTATGACTTTTGGACGAAAATTGGACTCTTTTTCATAGATATCACTCCAGACATGAAATTTTTTTCCATCAACCAAAGTCGCTCAAAAGCTAATGATTTCTATTCCTCGCGGCCCCCAATCATCCTGTAAAGTCAGATTTTAAATAACTTTTTTGGGGGGGGAGTTATTGTGTTAACAATTTTTGCGTACGGCGGACAACGTACAACGTACGACGTGGAACAGACCCACAACAACCATGCTCAAAACGGCCTGATTCGGGTTCTCTGACCTCAGAAACGTCCAGAAAATATGTTTTTAAGATGTCGTAAATTTTGACCCATTGCAATACTTTCCCCTTATACACTAGGTGTGTGCGGAAAAGTAAAAACCACGATAATGTCTCAATTCTTAAAAAATAGAATTTCCATGAAAAAGGACCAATTTTTTAACTTCACAAAAAGACACCAAATTAATTATTTCTTGTCTGTTTTTGGATGCATGTTATAGGCGAAGGTCCAAAATACTTGAAACGAGCAACAATTGGTTGGATGGATTGAGAGAAAGTTGAAAGAAATCGACAAATCGGTTGTCCAGAACATAATTTTGGTGGTTCGACGCATACTGAGAAAAATCGAAGAGAATGCCCCGTTCAGTGTAAAGTGAATGTGCTATTCGATAGTCTATGAATAAAGGTTTATATCAATAAAAATGAATTTAATATTGTGTGTTTGTTGTTCAAATGGCGGACGTCTGAATTTTTCCTAAGACTTTTGTGACATATGCTATATGAAACAAGGAATGTACAGTCAATGTGCTGTGTCGTTAAATGGATTCATTTTTTTAGAATAGATTTCACGAGAATGTGTTAATTCGTGAATTTTAAATATGTGAAGGAAATTTCCACCGAATTGGACAAGTAATTTGATAAAAAAATTTACGACTTCTTTTAAAAGTTCCATCCCATTCAACAATCAATTCATTTAATTTGGATTTTCCCCATAACAGTGCTGTGATATGCCCAAAATACCACATGACGTGAAAAAGACAGAATTTACATAGTCTGCAAATGATACCGCCTCGAACAGAAAGAAACCAAATGTTGGAACCGTAAAAATGGCCAGCGATAGAAAAACAAGACCATTCCGAAAAAATGTCGTTTCGTTTTTTGGATACAAAAGACCCAAAAATTTCAGGTGAATCTTAACAAATTTCAAAACCATTGTGTACTTTCACCAGACATTATATTGAGATATTTTCAGCCAGATGAATCAGTTTAGCCAGATATCGTCAGGAGCTGAATTGGAGTGAAAACAATAAAAGTGATTGTTATAGGGATTGTAGCAATCTAAGTGTTATTATAGCCATAACAATCACTTCTATTGTTTTCACTCAATTTCAGCTCCTGGCGATATCTGGCTGAAAATATATCAATATAATGTCTGAGAGCTTTGTAAAGCTTCACACGGACTGAACTTTTGTCTGCGTTTGAACTCGCATTCCCCATGCATTTTTCATTTTATATGAAACAAGGAATGTACAGTCGTTAAATGGTTTCATTTTTTTAGAATAGTTTTCACGAGAATGTGTTTATTCGTGAATTTTTAATATGTGAGGGAAATTTCCACCGAATCGGACAAGTAATTTGATAAAACTTTTTCACTTATTTCCACATATTTTAGCATTTCCTTCCCGTGTAGTATACGGGCGCTAAATGGAAGTCGCAGGCGCTCTTATTTGCGCTTTGGAAGAGGAATGACCGAGAGCGCAAAATATTTTGTCGCGCTATCGAGGATTTCTCTTTAAACATTTTCGCATAAAGACACAGCAACCGAATATGAGTTATGTATACAGTACATACAGTCCACAGAGTCGCTCAATATCATAACACACTATGCACATTGTGCATACTATTCATATTGTGTGCTATGCTAGTAAGTGACTCTGTCGACTGTATGTACTGTATGCATAACTCATATTCTGTTGCTGTGTCTTTATGCGAAAATGTTTAAAGAGGAATCTCCGATAGCGCGAATAAGAGTGCCTGCGACTTCAAATTAGCGCCCGTATACTACACGGGTTGTGTTTTATATGTTTCATTCCAAAATTAAAATAATTGAGCAAAATTGATTCACACTTATATTAATACTAAACACGAAAGAACTGTTTATAATTACTTGTTGAGATCGAAAGTTTTTTGAATCGCTGCTTAACTATTTATTGCGTATTACACTTGCTCAACTACTTACTGCATGGCATATCACTTTTCATTTGAAGAGTTTCATATAATCATAATCAATAATAATTTACACTCAAAACTGTCTCACACAGTAATAATGTCCTTCACGCGCTTAGTTTTTACGAAAATTGTGTTGTAATAAGTGCAAATTATTCAATTATTATTGGGGTTGCGTGTAGAATTGTTATTTCTCCAATTTTCAATCAAACCATATTTATTAGAACTCGAGGAAATACTAATTTGAGGGAAAAAATGACTGTCTATTAATAATTCATGTAGCCGATTGTAGTCAAATATCAAATAAAAAAAATGATGGTGATGGGAGACATTGATAGGCAAAATATATTAAAAATCTAAAATATTGAGTTTTTATTTTGAAAATATATTTGTATGCAATCTGATTGTATAATTTATAATCTAGAAATTTATTGGTGTTGTCGATTTATTAATGTTACGTTATGGTAATGATTGTTTGTTGATATGAGCATTGGATCCGTATCATACCTACGGTTGATTAGAAGAAAAAGTGTGGAAAATGAATCGAAGGAATGGATCAAAAATTGTAGTATCATACCTTGTACGATCATAGCCTTCAATTTGTTCTGGATCTCGAATTTCTTCATAAATCGGTTTCGAACTTCGAATTTCTTCATAAATGTGTTCTTGGACACCTTCTGAACCGAACGCACTCTGTGCATAGATGCTATTATTGTGTGATGACATATTTTGAGCATATATGCTATTATTATGCATATATCTATCATGTTCTATACGATGTTCGATCTCTTCTAATTCGAATACATTTTCTGTTGGTTAATTTTGCTTTTTAACGCGATGATAAAAAATTAAACAAGTAAATGCGGCGATAACAATGGAAATAAGCACACCAAATAGTATGGGTTGTAAAATGAGTGAATTCTCAATAGTTGGTCGAAATACTTGAATTCGAGTTGAGTCTATCTTCCAATTCACTTTTTAGCTTCATTATAGTTGGAACAATTTTTTCACAATTTTCACCGTGTTTTTGCTGCCAAGGATCACCAATAAATGTCAAATTTGGCCAATTTAAATTTACTTTTACAACAAAAATTATCAAATATTCGCATGGGAATCGATTTTGCGATATGGACAATTCACGCAGTATCGGAAATCTCTCCTTTTTCATGAGCATCAGTTCATTTAGTTCCTTTAAGTCATTGCAATAAAGTTTTGTCAATTGTTGTGATATCAACGAAAGATTTACTTTTTGTAGATTATTATGCGAAATATTAAGTTCCAATGATTTCATTTCACTTTCAATTGCGAATTCGAATTTTTTCAAATTCATATGAGCCAAATTTAATTTGCTGAACTTATTTTTATTGAATAACGTTGTATCCACAACATCGCTCATGGTATTGCCAGATAAATCGAGGTATGTAAGTGATGATCCAAATAGTTTAATAACATCAGTTATATTGGTGATGTGACATTCGGAAGCGTTAAATGTTATAAGTTGATTTAAAGTTGGTGCCAAAATCGTAAAATTCACCATTTCCAAATTATTATAAGAAATGTCAAGTCTTCTGAGTTTCGTCTGTGATTCAAATGGATTAACTTCATTTGAAATCCGTAAGCTTGTGCTAGATAAATGTAATTCATCAAGAATATCAAATTTTTCAAATGTGCTTGCATTCAATGTGCCGAGAAAATTGTCTGACAGTGACATATAATCAATTTTTGATGGCAATTGTTCGATTATACTAGCTACGTTGTTCAGATAATTACCTGAAATATCAATTACTTGAAAGTTTCGAAACTTTTTGAGCAGATCAAAATTTGCAATATTTTTTAATTTATTATTAGATAATTCAAGCCAAGCCAAATTTTTTGAATGTTCTATGTGGTTCTATGACATTCAAATCAAAATGAGTTAACTGCATTCCATTCAACATCAACATTTGCAAGTCAACAAATTTATGAAATGGTATTATATCCACATCTTTTATTAATACAAATTATTTATCTTTTATTAATACAATTATTAATACCAATTCAAGCTGCACAAGAGATGACGATAATCATTGAAATAGATCGAGTAAACCATCAACTCGACTATTCTTTACACTTAGAACTGACAAATTCACTAAGCCTTTATCGTTGCAATGCACTTCGGTAATGCCAGTTGGTGTGGCAAATAATCCCTCTTCTGTGCTGTTTACAATAATTTTCACCTTTTGTTCTAACGAGATGATGTTGAAATTTTCAAAATCTTCCCATGAAAGATAAACAAAACTGACATTCAATGTTATTGGTACAGTTGTAATGCGGTTGTTTTTCATGTGCAACAATGTTTTTCAAATGTTTATTATAATTAAATTTGTCGTGAATTATTGAAATAAAATTGCTGCTCAAATCCATATACTCTAGGTTGATCAAATTTCTATATGCATGTTGATCGATGGTCACTATTGAATTATGTGACAAGTTAACCGTTATTAAATTCATCGAAAAATCAAAGTAAAACAACAATATTTGGCCGTCCGTGTAAACCATTGTATGATATTATGAAATAAAAACAATTGATGTTATATATAACAATTGTAGTTTATGGAAATAATACAATTTATTTGTCAGCTGCAGTTTTCAAGCAAACATAAACACCATGGGCTTGTTGTTGTTTGAGCTCCTTCAGAATGAAATCGCGAAGTTCTTTGTAAGCTTTGTCGACATCATGATTCAGGATAATGGTATGGAAATTACCTTCTGTTTTGCCTGTAACCAACAAAAGACATTCAATTTATATTTTCAAGGTGGCAAAAATAAAAAAAACTTCTTTAGAAAATTTGCTCACCATATTCAATCTCACGAGATGCAGTGTCCAAGCGTTTTTGTAAACTTTCTTGTGTTTCAGTGTTACGTCCAACCAGCCGGCGTTTCAATTCGTCAATAGATGGTGGCATTACAAATGCTAGCAATGGATCCAAATCTGAGTTACGAATTTGTTTGACGCCTTCGATTTCAATATCGAGTACACACACTTTTCCAGCATCTTGTACATTTCGTACGGCTTGTTTGCTATTGAATTAAATGACATTAAATTTTGATCCGTTAAATATGTATTCAATCGACAAACGAATGCAAGAAATATATATTCACCTTGTTCCATACATATTTCCACTGAACTCGGCCGTTTCCAAAAATTCACCTTTTGCAATAGCTGCTTTCATATCATCACGTTCCACAAAATGATAATGAACTCCATTCTCTTCTCCGGGACGTGGTTTTCGAGTTGTGTGCGATACACTAATATGGAAATAAATTTTAGAAAAAGAAATAAATAAAAAAAAATTCGTACAAATTGAATATTTCTCTCTTATCACTTACCTAAATCCAAACGTTTCTGGGAATTCAGCAAATAGACGTTTTAGCAGTGTACTTTTGCCGGAACCTGTTTCAATAATCGATAAAAATAAAGAAAATTAGCAACCAAACTGTTTTTTTCTTTCTTTGAATCAATGATCAAAATTTACCTGATGGTCCACACAATACCAATGGACGCGGACCTCGCCGTGCCATCCTTGAGTAAGCTATGAAATAAATTTGAATGTAAAAATATGTTCAACCAAAAAAGTGTATTATCGAATCGAATAAGAAGCGATTGGAAAAAGGAAAAGTAGTGAATAAAAGAAGCTAGCAATTAGTTTGAAGAAAGTGAATTAATTGACATGCTATTGATATTGATAGTAGTAAAGCAATTAAAAGTGTTAGTTACAGATATGAGAAAACAAATAATTAATCGAATTATTGCATGTTGAACGATAAGCATTTTCTTCCTTACCCTGGGTCAAAAACACCATTAATGTGAACATTGTTACGATTTTAGTGTGTATTCAGATGCCAAAATATAGATCGATGTGAATACAGCAAACAAACCACCCAATGTTGACTTAGAACTGTTCCACAAAAACGATGAAAAACGCATACAAATGTGTTGAATTTCAGTGAAAGTGTCAGAATTCTTCAATACAATTTTTATGATAAAGTTTCTCTTTGCATTTTAAGAATCGTCATTTAATTCAATTGGGATATTTGAAATTACATTTTATTTTCATCGTTGAAATATTTACACATGTACTGTTAGTCGAATTAAACATTGAAACGAGAAAAAAATCAAGTACATTTCGACTTACCACTTGATACTATTACTGAAAAGTCAAATGATATTAGTGGAAATGACGATGATTTTGATGTGATTAATCCAACTGCTCGAAACCACATTTAATTTGAAATTACTCTTTTTGTATAAGTATTCTAAACCCTTTTCTAACAACTTAATATGTGCTCGACATATGTAACAAAAAACGTGTGACAGCTGATACACACACACAGTGGCTATACGAATGTCAAACTAACATTGAAACTCATTTCTCATACGCAATGCAGATGTATGAAAATCGCTTGAAATACAGATGTTATCTTTGCATGTGAGAAAAATTCTATGGAAACAAATGACAAACACTATCCAATGAAGTATTTTTTTATAAAAACAACATTTCGGCTCGAAAGTAAAAATGATATCAATATTTTCGATAGATGGCGTTGAAATTGATTGTGAACGCGGTGAAACTAATTTGAATCTTGAGCTCGAATTCGAATTGCATGTAGAACATAACATTGAATAGCCGGCTATAATTTCAAACCACATTTTGACGAGAAATTCAAGGAATTGATTTTATTAGAGGTACATTTCGAACATTTTGCATGTTTTGATTGGTTTTGATACAACATGGCATTCATACGAATCGAAAGCTTGGCCTTGCAACATTTTAATTACCAAAGATTTTGTATGTGTTCAACAAATGAAGGTTCAATAAAAAAGAAAACATTGATGTATTTTAAACTAATTTTAGGTAGATCTGAAGAAAAAATACATTTCAGCTACGAAACATAAGGTTATTTAAACAGGAAAATTGCTTTTTGTATGAAAACTTAATTGTACATACAAATGAAAACCATTTCAAATTGCTTATGGTTTAAATTTGAAAACTACATTTACATACCCATTTTAGAAAATCAATGTTATTTTCGTCCTTTGCTTGTCCGCAGGCCACTGTCTAAAAGAGACGCGATTTATTATACATCATTTCTACAGAGAGCTTCGGTTAAATTTTTACCAATAAACTTTTCGCTACGATAATTGCAAAAATAAAATATTTATACTTGATTAAATTCATTGTAAATGCCTTCGTTTCTTTGCTTAGAACCTACTATATTGACTAATGTCACACAATAGAATTTATACCCCGGTAGAACTTATGTTAAATGATACATCATTTTTAGTATACTTAGACCCATTTACAATAAGCTTTAATGCGTTATTTATTACAGCTGAAGAAAATGATGCCATGCCACCCAAAATACATACGCAAATAATAATTAAATTATTAATTTATTCATCTTTTTTATACACCTTCATAAATAATATTTTGTGAATTATTCAAAAAGTTTAATTTGAAAATTTAAATCTAAATACACATTGACATTGGAGTTCGTTCCGTTTTTGTTCTAATAAATTGTTAGTCATGAGTTTTCTCTTCAATGCTGGGCAAAAAAATTGAAAGTTTCTTTCTAGGGGATAACCGTGAATTGCAGATCGAATAATTTAAAATAATAAACGCTATTTCTCTCTAGTTTTCACTAATTCTGCTAGTATTTCTACTAGTTTGTTCTAATACTGCTATTTTTTGCTAATTTTTCTAGTACGTCAAAAATATCGCATTCGTCAGATTGACAGCATGATCGAATAACTGAAATGTGTTTACGTAAATGTTTCAAGTTGACACTTTCAACGTGTATATTTGAAGCAGGCACTAGCGTATACGTTTTCAGTAAGAAATCTGTCATCAAATCTACATTTCCGATTGCAATTCGTAAATTGTAGTTAATACAGATGAAACGTGCTTGGTTACGTGCCATTGAATATATTTTTATTTAAAAATGAGAAAAAGCGTATTTAACTACATATTTTGATACATTTTAGTTCAACACTATTCAATTCATTTGTTTTGTGAATTTTATTTTAATTAATTATTTCAATATATTCAAGAATAAATGCTTACTAAAGTATATACTTGTACAGTGCTAATTCTGCTATTTATTGCTAATTTTGCTATTTTCTTCATGTAAATTTCCCTATTTTTTTGCTAATGTGCTAATTCTAATTCGCATGGATATCCCCTAGGTTTCTTTGGTTTCTAATTACACCTTAGATTATATTTGAAATAAACATTTCAAAAAGCATCATCTTTTGCCCGCAAATAGAACTAAATGTACAATTCAAACTCCATATTATATAAATACTAAGTTTCATTCCAGCCGAAAATAATGAAATGAAAATCGGCGTTTCCATCGATTGAATTTGCTCTTTTGTATTTACGGCGAGTTTGGAAAACCGATTCAAAAGAGAATGTAATAACGATAGATTTTAAAATATGAATTTTTTATTATCGCAAGAAACTCATTGTATCGCACGAATTTCAATGTCTATTTTCATTGAAATAAAGAGTTATTAACTTTGAAATTTTTAAATTATCGCTGAACATGTAAAAGACCAAACGAAATGAAATTGGTATGATTTAAATTAAATTGGCCGAATTTCTCATGATTTCATGATTCCGTCAATTATGTCCATTATCATATGAAAAAAATAATAATATATGTGTCTATGTCAACATAAAGCCACATCGTATGTAATAACATAAAAGTGATTTCTTTCCAAAGCGATTAGTTGCATCAAACGTAAACAAAACCATTTGTATGTATCTGTCTGTACATTGTTGGCGAATTCGTATTGAACTGATGTGTCGAAGCGTCTGCTGTATTCATTCCATTGGCTTGTATTTCGACCAATCACATCACTCCATGTATGACGTTGCCATAATCAACGACACGAACACCATCGTTTCGTCTCATTCGAACGCACGCAAATCGTTGCGTGCGTATGTCTGTCGATGACTTCATACGAATGTTTTATTCAGTCAAACAACATTGTGCGGTGTATATGGGAACTGTCATTATAGTAAAATACATTACTTGCGGCTGGGACACTGAATAGACCGGGTTTATAAAATAGTCAAGTCCAATCTCAATATAGTACATTTTCAATTTGTTTTTTAAACGTGAACTAGCATACGAATTTTCGTAGAGAAAAACAAAATCAACAAAATGCAAATTCAAGTTATTAGTTTAGTGATTTGTGCCGTTTTATCGGCTGCTCTAGCTGAGGTATATTTTGAAGAAAAATTCAAAGAAGGTATGTATTGGACTTTTTTTTAATCATTCATGTACGGTGATAGTTTTTTTTTCATTGCGGGCACTGATGTGGCGTTTCTCTAGAATTAATATATAGGTGTGACACTTTACGCACACATTAATTTTCGACATAAATTTGATTTTAATTGTGAAAAACCAATGAATTTTTATGAATTTTTTTTTATTGTTTCACAGGAAACTGGGAAGATAATTGGGTGTACACCAAAGCTGAAGGCAAAGAATTCGGAAAATTCGAATTGACTGCTGGAAAATTCTACAATGATGCTGAAAACGACAAAGGTAAGTTCAATTTAGGGTTATTTATGTATTAAAATGTAATGGAATTGGTTGGGTTTTTTGTACTCAAAGATATCATTTAATTTAATCATTAAGTGAGTCGTGGACACGTTGACACCATTCATTGAAACATTCTAGAAAATTTACCTTGCATGTTGTGTGTGTGTAATATGATAGTGAATTGAAAGCACACCAGAACTTCCCTTTTTATTTAAACATTGTTGTTCATTTAAATCTTCAGTTTTTAATTTGGTTCGTTTTAAACATTTTCAAACGCATATTTCGATTTCTGTTGCATTTTTTTTTTTCAATCAAAAAACCATTTCAACTTTTCTATTAATTAGTTATTAATGACTTACTCATTTATTTATAAATACTCTAAAATCCAGGTTTTAACCAAATTGCTCGAACGTTCCGTGAACAAAATCGTTCAAAATAATAAAAAATCGAAAAATAAATTTGAAGAAAAAAAAGTTGGTAAACCAGACAGACGTTAATCTTGTTGATGACGTCGTCAATTGTCACCAAACATAAATATCTGCCCATTCATCACAAAGTCAGTTTTTCAAAATATATTTATTTTTGGGCATCGAGCCAAAACATGTTATGAATGTAATCGGTATTAAAGGAAAACGATATCATGCTGTTTCGATTTCAAAAATGCCATGCTGTCACTTTCTGTAATGCTGCCGTTAATGATTGTAGAGTTCCAAAAAAAAAAGTTTATCAATTGCTCTTATCAGTCGCTATCGCATGTTTACGACCCGAATTTTTCTAGTTTACTCGCCCATGACAGAACAATAGATAGTTATCATCAAATACAAACTCTGTATTCATTACCATTTGCTATATAGTAATTAGTCTTTATCCGGTACAATGTCCATTACGGTTTACCATCAAAATTAATTGCTTTCGATGGATTTTTGAAAATGAGTTAACGTTTTCGCTTTTTTAAACTTTTTTTTCTCGTTAGGTCTTCAAACTTCTCAAGATGCTCGATTCTATGGAATTTCTCGTAAATTCAGTCCATTCAGCAACAAAGACAAACCATTGGTCATTCAATTCTCTGTAAAACATGAACAAAACATTGACTGCGGTGGTGGATACTTGAAAGTGTTTGATTGCTCATTGGATCAAACAAATTTGCACGGTGAATCGCCATACTTGATTATGTTTGGCCCAGACATTTGCGGACCAGGCACCAAAAAAGTCCATGTCATCTTCAGCTACAAAGGCAAAAATCATTTGATCAACAAGGAAATCCGATGCAAAGATGATGTCTTCACTCATTTCTACACATTGGTTGTGCAACCAGACAACAGCTACGAAGTATTGATCGATAACGAGAAGGTTGAATCAGGCAATTTGGAAGATGACTGGGACTTCTTGCCACCAAAGAAAATCAAGGATCCAGAAGCCAAAAAACCAGAAGATTGGGATGAACGCGTAAGTACTTTCAGTCTATAAAAACATTATTTTCTCATATATATATATATTTTTTTAAAGGCAAAATTTAACGGTTTTTCTTTTAATTTGTTTGATTGAATTAGGCCACCATTCCAGACCCAGAAGACAAGAAACCAGAAGATTGGGAAAAACCAGAGACCATTCCAGACCCAGAAGCCACCCGACCAGATGATTGGGATGATGAAATGGTAAGATTTCAAACTTAAATATAATTTCAAATAGAATTGGATTGTTAATAAATTACAATATTGTCTTGGACTTGAATAGGACGGCGAATGGGAACCACCAATGATTCCAAACCCAGAATACAAAGGCGAATGGTCACCAAAACAAATCGACAATCCAAACTACAAAGGAGTCTGGAAGCACCCAGAAATCGATAACCCAGAATATACACCAGACACAAACTTGTACTTGCGCGAAGAAATCTGCACCGTTGGTTTGGACTTGTGGCAAGTAAAATCCGGCACCATTTTCAGTAACTTTTTATTCACCGATGATGTTGAATACGCCAAGGCTCAAGCCGCTGGTGCCAAAGAAACACAAGAAGGCGAAAAGAAGGTCAAAGATCAACAAGATGAAGAAGAACGTAAAAAGGCTGAAGCTGAAGCCAAGGCCAATGAACCAGCTTCCAAATCAGACGATGAAGATTTGGATGACGAAGATGATGAAGCAACTGGTGAAGCAACACCAGCCGAAGAACACGACGAATTGTAAATTCCAAAACCGAATGTCATCCGCGCACACACAAACACACACAAACACACACATACACACAAGCAAACAACAATTTTTCAACATCATTTTCATCCAACAGTCATTTTCTTTCCTGCCGTGCCCAATACCACACATACACACGGGTGTTTTGTTCTAATTTGTATAAACTCACCTAGCATCGATTTTTTTTTGTTTAAAAAGTATTTAAATCTGTGCTAACAATTATCCTAGCGATACATTGGAAGTCATTGAAAAAAAAGAGAATTCAAATATGTAACGGCAAAACATTGTAAGAAAGATCCAATTTTGTGTAGATTTTCGTATTGTGTCTGAAAAAAAATTTGAGAAATCAAAATAGGCTGTAAATATTGAATTGGAATTTTAATAGATTGATGGCAATATATATTATTATAATGCCATCAAAAATGGAAAAACAACATAAAATTATGAAAACATTTATCAAAAAGTTATGCATTTTTTTTAGTTTAAAAAAGGAAATAAGTTGTATAATTTCCTTGCGTAAACGATAAATAAATTCTTTCGTTTTAGTTTATATGAATTTCTTCTTCCTTTTTTGAATCAAAAATAAAATTCGAAGAGTGAAAATTAAATTCGTCGTCGCCTTTTTTTGGTCAACCGTATTTATTTGCTTAAAATTCAAATTTTCCATTTTTGAGATGCCAATTTTTGGTTTGCTTGTGTGCTTTTTTAATATTCTATGTCAGCTCGGCGATCCGTCACACATTATTTATATGAATATACATTGCAAATTGAGAGCATTGCATTTAATTTATATAAGAGAAGAAAAAAAAAAGAGAAAACATTTGTATCTATTTGTAAGAGTAAAACATTTGTCGACTGATGTTTCACACTAAATAATTTTTAGTTTTATTGAGAGATTCAATAAATTATTGAGAGTTCCAGAAACTCACCGATCTATAACATGTTTTTCATTTCGCTTTTGTTGCACAAAATTATAAATCGCATTGTTTAAAATCACAAACTTTAAAAACACACCCACAGGAGTTATCGGTGACCATGATCTTGACTTAAAATACGCAGTAAAACAACTTTATTTCATGTACCATAATAAAATAAAAAATTAAAATAGAGAATCTTTTACAAATTACTTTGCTAATATGTCTTTTAAGATATGTATTTTCGAGTATAAGGAAAATAGGTTTTGAATTAGGTTTGTAAAGCATGTCTATAGGATAAATTACCTCGAAAGCACGTCTATAGGATAAAATATAAACAAATGACTAAAGAAAGTCTAGACTCATTTGCTTCCTTAAAGGTTTAAATGGTTTTAAAAAAGTCCAATCGTTGTAAAAAATGTCTGTATCATTAGTACCGTCTGCCGTTAATTGTCTATATTTCACCAAAGTTATGATTTGAGATAAAGGGCAGGATTTCAAATTAAATCGAAAAAAGGTCAGAAAGATATTGATTAACCACACTACAATTTGAAGCAACTAATATAAGAAAGAATATATGCTAAAAAGAAGAGTTTACATTCGTCAACGACCATATCATATAAAAAGCACCAGTTCTCGTCCGATCACTGAAGTTAAGCTGCATTGAGCATGGTTAGTACTTGAATGGGTGACCGTCTGGGAACACCATGTGTCGTTGGCACCAATTTCTTTTTTATTTTTATTTTTTTTCTACATATTTTTAATGTTCGGTTCAACACTAAAATGATGGATGTAATAAAAGCGAAATATCTTCTTTAAATGAACAAGATGCGAATATCTGTGGAAATATTTGAAATTAAGAAATGATTATGAATCCATATGGTTTATTATCATTTATTATTATTCACAACAATGGTAAAAAAATGAGTCAGAATCAGTTTTAGGTAAAATAACAATTTCGAATGTATCTTAATGATAACTTATCGTTAAGTTGATACGAAACATGTTTCAAGTGCACTTGAAACGAATTCTTAAAAAATGAGGGTTCCGAAAATTATCATCGTTGATTTGATAGCTTAGTGTAGTCAAGATGTTTGTGGCTATTTGGTGTGTTTTCATTGTTATTTTAAATTCACTTTTGGGTGCTGTACTAATATCGCCCCGAATAAACGGGGGCCAAGATGCTGAAATTACTCAATTTCCATTTATGGCATCGTTGCGGGAATTACGTGGTTACAATCAATATAAACATCTGTGTGGATCTGTAATCATTTCTCAACGATATTTGCTGACCGTGGCACAATGTTTTTCGTCAGAACAAGTGAATTGGTTTGGCATAGCAGCTGGAACGAGTAAAAAAAACGAAGATGTGTTTATTCACAGAATCAGACGTGTTGCTACACACGAAAAGTACGATGCATTCGTTGCGCCCTTCATGCATGATATCGCACTTATTGAACTTGAGCAACCATTGACATTGAGCGAACGGATCAATGTAATTTCATTGAATACTACATTTTACGAAGGTCATTTAGATGCTGTTACTTTGGGATTTGGAGGTGTTTATGTAAGTCATTGCTTTAATATCGGTTGAAAATGAAGAAAATCAACTATAGAAATGAAAAACTTTCTAAAAATAAAAAACAACAGGACAATATCGCCAAATTGCAATCAATTAAAATGAAAACCATGACAAATCCGGAATGTCGAAGCAAGGTTGGAAAAGATAATCAAGTCTATGATTTTGGTATTCTATGCGCTTATTCGGGGGATGTAAAAAGACGAATTGGTCACGGTGATGCTGGTGGTCCGCTAGTGCATCAAAATAAGCTGATTGGTCTGATTTCATGGAATCCAAAAGTTGTTGGCAGTGATAAGCCGGAAGGATTTACACGCATCAGTAGTTATAATGAATGGATCGCGAAGCACATGAAATGAAATCAATTTGAACGGTATTAGAAACGACATTTTTTTTACTCAAGACACTTTTACTTTCATATTGAATTAAATTATGGAGACGAAATAAAGTTTTACGTAAAAACAACAATTTTGTTTACAAAATAATTATTGCCAAATGTAATTTGGATTGTTTTTAAAGCGATTGCACTCATCTTTGCATATTTTTAGTGCAAGAATTGCTTAATATTAAATTCGATCGCTGTGTCAAAATCAAAAGGTGTCGACAGTCTTCTTCATATTCTTATTATTCTACTATTAACTCTTAATTAAATAATCAAAAAAACCATCTATTGAATTGAAAACAATAAATATTTTTCTAGTCCTATAAATAAAATATGCCCGAATATATTTACGAAAGAGGTATTTTGAAATAATTTTTGTTTTCGTCTTTATTTCAATGAAAACAAGTGCTTTTTATATATATCCAAATTGTAATGATTTACTCTTCAGTTTATTCAAAACAATCAGAGCAGACACTTTACATAATTAATTTAAAGAAGTAAATTGGTGTGAAATTGATTAATTAAATTCAAAATGAATTTAAAAGTTATATTTATTTTGGGAGCTTACCTGATAACAGTAAATTCATCAGAATTGGGAGAACCAAAACCAGTGATAAAGCCTGTCGCTGATAAACCCATGAAAAACTCTGAGGAGTCGTGCATTTGTACTGATGAATATATGCCTGTATGTGGCAATGACGGCGTGACTTATCCCAACTTATGTAATTTTGATTGTGAGAAAAAGAAAAATTGTAGTTTGAAACTCGATTGCAACACAACTTGTCCATGCCCTGAGAAGCCGTGCATCTGTATTGAAATATATAAGCCAGTCTGTGGAAGTAATAACAAGACTTATTCCAATGACTGCTTTTTTAAATGTGATCAAGACAAAAACTGTAGTTTGAAGATCGATTGCAACACTACTTGTCCATGCCCTGAGGAGTCGTGCATTTGTCCTTTTATATACAAGCCTGTGTGCGGAAGTAATAACAAGACTTACTCCAACGAATGTGTATTAGATTGTGACAAAAAGAAAAATCCCGATTTGAAACTCGATTGCAATGGAACTTGTCCATGCCCTGAGAAGCCGTGCATCTGTATTGAAATATATAAGCCAGTGTGTGGAAGTAATAACAAGACTTATTCCAACGAATGCTTTTTTAAATGTGATCAAGATAAATATCCATATTTAAAGATAAAATGCAATGCAACGTGCGATAAATGTGGTGATTGCATTTGTCCGGCAGTTTATAGTCCTGTTTGTGGCTCAGACGGGAAGACCTATCAAAATTCCTGTTATCTTTCTTGTGCACAAAAGAAAAATCATGGCCTATATTTCATTTGCAATGGAGATTGTAAAAAGTGTTCTTGTGCATGTACAAAAGAATATAATCCAGTTTGCGGAACCGATGGAAAAACATATGGCAATAATTGTACATTATACTGTGCAAGAAACAAAAATTCTAGTTTGAAGATTGCACACAATGGTGAATGCAAAGGTAAAACACATCCTGAAAAGAAGGAGCATGTTAAAGTATACGAAATAATATTATCCTCATCTTCGTCGTCATCGTCGTCATCGTCGTCATCGTCGTCATCGTCATCAAGTGATGAAAATAACCGAAAACACAATTACAAAAACCACGAAGCAGAAGCACACGCACACAAAACCGTGACTTTAAACGAGAAAAAGCCTAAATGCAAATGCGATAAACGACATTAAATTAGCAATTGTCTATATTGTACGTTATTGCACCATATTTTTGAAGATTAATAAATATATTTCATTCCATTTGTGTAATATGTTTGATTTCGAACTTATATTTCTCACTCATTTTATAAGTTTTATGTTCCTTCTAAAGGCGTTCGATGTCAATGACCAATAGTGATTCAATATTAAAATTTTGTGAAAGATTTTTTGGACTCACTCTTATGTATTAGTATGACATTCGACGAAAAGTTATATTTCTTCGAAAGTTGCCTTTTTTAATCATCTTTATAAAAAAAAAGTTTCCAAATTTATTCAAACGTACAAAGCAGTATTTTTTTTTTGTTTTATTCAGATTATTTGCTTCCGACACAAGATCATTTTATACAAAATCTTATCAAGTTCATTCTTTAGAAAAATTGTGACTAATTACAAAATGTTTGCGATAAACAATTTGCTTGAAACAAATGTTCATAAGTTTTTTGCTCATTTCAAAGAGTCATTTGTAAGTAACTATTCCGATTGTAATCAAATTTGTCTTATTTAACCTCGTTCATACAATTATTGATTTGAGTTTCAGATCTTGAATTATGTATTTAGAGCAGATAATAATCGGTAAGAACAATTCTTAGAATATATAATGAAGATGTAAAAAAGTGCCATAAAAATAAATTTGCCATTTGGAGTTGCATTTGAATGACATTTAATTTGAAGCATATTATGGCACAATTGAATAATTAACATAATTTAATCAATTAAATTAATCAATTAGTCATCACCGCCACCACCACCCCCGCTATCTCCACCGCTACAGTCACCACCGCCGCTGTCTCCACCACCACCACAATCATACGAACTGCTTCCGTGGTCATTCGAGCTAGTTCCATGATCCTGCGAACTAAAATGATGTGTGGAAGTATGATGGTCAGAGCTACTCGAATGATGATTAGATGATGAAAATCCGTCATCATTACTGGACAAATTATGATGATTAGAAGACGATAATCCGTGATCATCATTGGACGAATGATGATGATTAGAAGATGTTTCATGTTGGCCATGATGTGAATGTGTTGTTATTGGAACATATTCACTATTATCGTGACTTTGCGTGCTATAGCTCGTATCAACGCCATACACTGGTGTTGTATAATCATTGCCGATATCGGATGAAGTTCCGTGGTATGATTGCTAATTATTCAATTTACTTGCCATTAGTAAAATTTACTAAGTAAATATATGATTTATCATTTTTAATTACCCTCATTCTATTATTAGTGGTGTTCGCTTTTGATGATACATTTTCAGCTCGAGATGTTTTGTAATTTTTTTGTTTGCCACAACACGAACCCATTGTTTGATTATTTATTTCAGTCTAATATGGTAAACTTGTCCGATAGGTTTGCTGGAAATATAAGCACTGATTTAACTTTAACGCGTCTTATTTAGAGCCACGTTGAGCCGTATGCGATAAGCTAATTTTACAACTGAATTTTGCAAATATTTAACCTTTAAAATAAATCCATAAGTGTTTTGGTCGACTTCTTTATGAATCAAATACAATTACTAAATTTCAAGAAATCAAATAAAGTTTCCAGCTGGCATTTAAGTGTTATTTTGACGCTAGTGAATCATATACCAAAGCGTTGAACGTATGATGTCAAACCGCAAGCTTCTGTTGTACTCTTCACACTCATACGCTGCAGCGAGCATGCTCAATGTGGCTTAAGCGATGCGTTAGCTTTGCGCTCAATGCCACGAAGTTACACTCACGTACACGTTCAAAGAACGTTCTTTTTTCTCATACGAGTTACATGACTCATGTATATATTTTTTATCATATCGGCGAATTTATGGAAAAGTATTTGTACTCATCTATAGAACGCTATCTGCCAATAACACATATATATGCAGTATAATACGACGCATATTCTTATCCATTCAACTTTTTATATGTGTCTTTTATCCTTATTCCATTATATGTGGTTGACTTATCGGATTTCGAATCAATTTGGCAACGATATTGTTCCTTTTGACTTTAAGATTTGAGTTGTGAATGGACGTTAAAAAAATCAAATATTCCAGTGACGTCTATGATTATAGTATTTATTAATAATCATTGATTCTCTGACGATTAACGCTCCATTTAAGTGGAATCAACTGTTTCAATGTCAATGGGTACAATGAATTTTTGTGTTTCTTTTTTTTTTTTAATTTGTTACTGTTTTCGCTTCATTGAAATTCTATAATTGAAGATAGTCATCAAAGCGCAGTCGCTGAATAAAACATAGAATATTTATTTACATTCATGCTATTCAGTTATTTATTGATTTTATCAGTTATTTATGAAAAAATGCATTTTCAACATATGAATCGTTGCGGCGAAACAGTAGCTCTTATTTTTCTCCAAATACTCTTTCGCCGCAACGATTCATATGTCATAACGCAATAGAATATTTGGCGCTTGGAAAAGAGTTGAATATATTATTCTCTCATTAAAAACCAAACGCTATATTTTCTTTACCATTTATGAGGAATAAACAACACTAAAACTTGTGTCAGATGGACAATTGTGTAGTCCACCTTCGTCATCATACGAAAAACTGTACGCAGTTGGACAATCACGATGAACAAGTTGAACGTAATTTGTTTCTTCAACAATTCCACTTCGACACTCCTCGGCTGTAACTGGACTGGGACAGCAAAGCAAGCGTCCATCTCCGTCTTGCTCATTTCGACCGAAACCGTAAGGTGGAGGATAGTTCCATTTTTTGCATGGTGACAAACAAGAAACAGCATTATTACTTCTACCATATACAGCTAAATCGCCCAAGTCACTCTGTTCGTTTTGTGGACAGTTGGTCAAAAGAAGATGACAATCGGTTTCAATACAAGAACCATCTTGTACCGGTTGACCCTATAATAGTAACACCATTATTGTTTGCATAGCCGACTTCAAAGTTTCTGAATAGTTTTATTCAAATTATATTTTACTACTAACACCTCTGTACGGTGTTATCTTACAGGCCTGAGAAAATCCATCCACCTAATTAAAAACATACAAAGAAACGTTTTCTGTGAATCCGTTTAAAACCATAAATCCATTATTTGATAAAAAATTAGCGCACCAAACTGATGTCATAATACGCAGTGCCGCTACTTATTTGTGGAAAGAAAAATTCAACTTTTGTCTCGCTGGGAGGTTGACAACCGCCATCAGGGCATGGTGGCACTGATTGGCCGATTTCACAATTTGCATCGGAATCGTCACAACCACTTTTTGGCCATAGTCTTCCACTCTATAATTTTATTTATTATTTTTTAGCTGAAACTAATCGTGCTCCTTTTAAAAAATAGTTATTATAATTATTAAATAATATAGAAATTATAATATACCCAACCAGAATCAGGAATAGAATAAGTCGTCGAATCACCCGGATTGATTTTAATAATACCAGGTGCCAATTGGGGTTGATCGGTGTTGTCTTGTTCTTCCATCCAGATTGGAAAATTATTTTGGTTTTGAACTTGAATGTACCTATATATAATGTAATGTTCAATTTCCATGTATATTTAATATATTAAGAAATATATAAATGTACCGTTGTTGTGCGACACTGTGCTCTATCACGCACACAAAAGCTATGAATGCTAACCACATCATTTTTTTATCAGACACTTGCTCTATTTTATCTCTAAAAGATTTTTTTTGTCAAGTACTCAATATTACAATGGAACTTTGAATTCAACTGGTTTTTATCTTGTGCGTTATCCGTTTTTATACCAATTTTTCGAACTTCATTTTGACGTTCGCAAGTGACGAAAGAAGAAAATAAATATTTTGATCTGATTCATCTGACAGAGATATCTGTAGGGCTTCTTTGGCTATCCCTATTGATATTAAGAAAGTAATTATTCTATTTTTACCATTTATCCATCTGTTTTATTTTTCCGTATACACCACTATATGATAAAACAAAATGTGTGTTGAAAAATACATAAGAGTTCGTTATTTTTCATTATGAAAAGAATTTTTGGAGTTCGTTGGCTTTGACGCACAATCCATTGTATCCCAAATCTAAGGATGCATGTGCATTTTTCGACGGAGGTTAATGAATTTCCGTAACGTGTATGGTAACGTACGTTTTTGGTGTGAAAAAATGTATTTATATTTCAAATAACGATCGATTGTTTTTTTATGAACATGAAAACAACATTGAGAACAACCAATGCAGGGTAATTAATCTATTACGCGTATACACAGCTAACGTCATAATTCTTGCAAGCATTTTAACGGATTACGCAGAAAAAAATAATATTTTCTTCCGTATTCATAGCTTCTGACGGGGGGACATTCCCCTTAATATGAGCGTTCGTTTTATACAATTTATCACTCTTTAATGGTTTTCGTTCACAGAATTACTAAAAAACAACATTCGATTATGCATAATAATTTCTTTGATTGAACAACGGTACTCTGCAATAAATCTCGGAACGCTACTCCGAATACATGGCAGTGTATTTCTGTGAAGATTGTGATTATCTCTAGGTAAAAGTCAGAAAGCAGTGCACAGATTGCAACGAGTTATTGAAAATCGAATTTTCATATGTAAGCACAATTTTCATCCAAAATCAATTATCTATCAATTAAAGTTTTCGTTTAATTTCCAGAGAATGGTTACATATACCGATGGATTTGGACATACCGATTTCAAATGGCACATCTAAATGAAAGAAAATGTTCATAAAATCGAAATTAAAACTTGTATTTTCCATCCATCTCAAGTTTATCTTCGAAGCATTCTTTGTCGCAAATAAATCAATTCAATGGTGTAAAATAAAATAAAATATACTAGAAAATTGAAATAAAATCATAACTCAAAGATTTTTGCACGAACTGTTTTCAACGCAACCAAAAAGATCAACTTTCAAAAACCGACTCTTAGCCTTAAGCGATGAACATTTTTCAAACTTGTCAATGATATCTAATCATAATACTGTTTTCTTAAACGATTTAATGTGATATTATTTTATATACTTTTTTTGACTTATTGTATTCTGGTGCAATATGAATATCAACTATTTAATTATTTATTCATATATTTATTGAATTTTATTCTTAATTCTGTGCTTAAAAGATGTGGTTTTTAACGGTGATCAAATGTGCCACACATTAATGATTCATACCTTTTTCCCACCATACATGTATAAAAAATTGTGTACACACTCAAACATGATTCAGCCAGTTTTGGCGGTGAATAAATATTATTATATTATTATATTATTTCTGTGAATTAAAAAAGAAATTACGTTTTTTTATTTATCTTTTAATATATGCATAAGAAAATCTTAGAAAATGTATCTTACAGCACTTTAACTAATAACATTTGAATAATATAAATTCACATATCTTGACTACACTTGACTAACACCATATTTTGAGATTCATTGCACAGATTCTGTTGAAATAATTTGAAATTTTAACGTGATAAATTTACCAAGACACACAGAATTATCCAGAATTATCACACTGAACAAAAAATTTCCCCGAGATAAAGTTAAAATCAGGCATCAATATCTTTCAAATTTGGTCCAATGTTGACAGGGCCAATTTAGCTGCAGCTCGTTTGGCATTTTTTTTATTTGTTCCAAAGCCATGCTTCACGACTTTTTTTCCATTACAATTAAAACAAACACTAACCAAAACATTATTCGATTCTTTGTTAATTTGTGGTTTTTCAAATTCGGGTTTTGCATCTGGATATTCGTACAGTTGTCGAACAGTTTGAATTGGCACGTTAGCCGTGAACTCATGTAGCTCTTTCTCCATCAAACGATAAATAAACATCCACGTCGTCTGCAATATTAGATAAATGACATTATTAAGAATTTTCAATGAAATGATAAACCTTTTTGATGTTCTCATTCTAATTCTAACCTCGAGATCCATGCCACTGTCCAAAAATATTGCACCTATAACGGATTCAAAAACGTCACCCAATGTTTTTGGTACATCCACATAGTCGGCCATATTACATTCTCCCTCTTCCATTAATAGTTCCACATGATCGGCTGTTTGGTAATTGGTTTTGTCTTGAAAGTCAACAAACCGATTGATTGCTCCCGATAAAATAACACTTCGTGACAAAATATGTAAGTGGATATTGTAACGCACACACAAGCACGCCAATGTTACATTGTTCACAAGTGCCGATCGTAAATCGGTCAATTTCCCCGGATCCATGTGTGGACAACGCTCGAATATGTAAGCGGTAATTAAAAAATCAAGAACGGCATCACCCAAAAATTCAAGCTGCTGATAGCAGCCGGTAACACGATTCGTTGGATATGACGGGTGTGTTAGTGCTTGTAACAAATAGGCTCGATCTCTGAACGTATATCCAATGGACTCTTCCAGTTTTTTGTGATTTGTTAATAAGTCGTCAACTTCTTTGTCCGGAATGTTGGCGCGAAGACGTGGTGATCGCAATTTGTTTTGTAACATTTTGGTGATGTCTTGCACATCATTACGTGGTAAAATTTCGAACATTTCCAATACTTTAAAAGTGCGTTCGACGCCAATCGATTTGACGCACGCTCCCAAAATGGCTTCGATGCAATCGGCACATGTTTTATCCGAGATACGCTGCTTGCCAAGGAAATGTTGCTTCGTTGATGTCTCGCCGCCAGTATTTCTTTCGTACAAGAATTGCTGGATAAACTGTTCCAAACTTGAGTTCGACACTTCACCACCTTCTAATTCAGCTGTTGATAAACTGAGTTTATACAGAATATCGGGTGTAATATCGTATTCTCTCATGGCATTCTGTTGTGTTTAGAATAAGAAGTCATTTATTTCGTTATATTCCAAAACAACAAATATACTATTCTTGCTTTACCTGAATTTGGTCATCAACCTTCAGCATTGGCGGCTGCCAATCATCCTTCGGACTGAAATCATGAGCTTTTATCATTCCGGAAAATTTGTTTCTGATGGCACTGTAGCAAAGATTACGATTTCCAACAATTTGACCTTTAATTGAGGTTAGGAAACCTTCATGCCATTGCGGATGCCTTTGAATCAAGTACAATGAAACGCTGAATTTCAAAAATGCATCGCCCAACACTTCAAGCGATTCCATATTAAATACATCGGCTGATGAAGCGGTAGTAATTGCAGCCAAGATGTCATGCTGTTCAACACCTCGAGTGATTGAAGTCTTAAGTTTTGTTTGCAACACATTAATCCGAAGCTTATCGCTCTCCACGTCACACAGGGCCGGCACATTTGTGTGGAGATGATGTGGAGAGAGAAGACTATTATTGGTACCATTTTTGTTCTCATCGAACGATAAACCATGTTTAAACATATAATAAAAATCGATGTCGACTTCATAAACATTATCAAAATGTCGTTCCAAATCGATGGGTTCAAAATCTTCGGATCTCAAAATTGACGTATCCGCATCATTTGTATTCAATTTTTCGGCAACAACTCTAATTTCTCCTTTTTCTCGGGGTGCATCGGAATTTTGAATGGATTCGATCAATGGACACGGCTCATCTGAAATATCAAGTCCAACATATTTATTGATGGCATTTCGAATATTTTCCGCATGTAGAATATATGTAATCCGATGAATGATGCTTGGTAGAAGAATTGCTTTCAACCATAAATCACCGGGATATCGGAAGTTATGGCACATTTCCGGAATCAATAGTTCAGGTCTTTCTGATGAACTTCCACTTTCCGGACGTAAATGATTTAAACGAGACGTGATTGCTTTGACACCGATTAAAAATTGATCATTATTCACCACACCATCTGTTTTGGGATATGTTTTCAGCATATATTCGGCATAGTTTTTATAATCATCATTTGGAAATGAACTTAACGGTGATTTCTCTTCAAAAACATTTGTTATTACATATTTTTTGGTTTGATTCAGGTACCACTTAGAAATGACACAGCCATCCCAATTCTCTCTTTTGTACTCGGCATTCGTACGTTCAGCGAGAGTTTTTTCCTTCACCTTTGACCATGTTTGAAATTCTTTGACGATTTGCCAATTGATTTTCTGATTCATTGTCGGAACTATGATCACCGAATCCTTTTCATCATAAACAAAGTATTCCTTCCATATTTCCAAAATATATTTGAACAGAATGCAATGGAATCGCTTTAATCGGGCCAACTCTTGTGGATCATGCAATATAATGGGCATTGGTTCATAGCTAATGGAACATGTAATTTCTCCAAATGATTGATAACATTTGATAGGACCCATGCGCGGTAATTTCTTCATTGTTAAGATACCATAAGTGTGTGGTGATTGAAAAAGATTATGAAATGTTCTTATGTTTTCATCTGATCCTTTGAATTTCGGTTCCATGGCAATTTCATACAAATAAAGCTGTACATTTATACGCGGAATACTGTCGATTAACGCTGCTGGCCTTTGAATATCATGCATTCGATAATGTTTCCGTGTTCCAGCTTTTTTCGGTTCGTCTGAAAATTAGTTTTGGTGATAATTCATATATGCATGGAAATTCATTAAACAAAATTACATACCTTCTTCAAATTGATTCCATGTCTTAAAGTAAATATCTTTGTATTTTTCTAAGCATATGTTCTGAGTGATTGGCTCTAAATGGTCTGATAATTCACCAACAATATGCAATCGTTTTACTGCTTCGAATGCTGCGCTTCGTTTTGCCAATTTGGTGTTTGGCATTGGTTTACCCTGAGAAAAAAATGATTTATAATAGTCAAACAACTCGATTTGTAACGTTAGGAAAAAAAATTAACCTACAGAGATCTTTTCTTTTATCGGACATAGAATTGGCATTAAAATGGTTCCGGAGAGGCCACAACTATCCCAATTTTCTTCCCATTCAACAAATTGTTCGATGAACTTATCACTTGCTAAAGTCATGCAATAGTTGTTTAACGTACTAATTGCAGAATTGAAATCAGCAATTGCTCCTTTGGCAGTTTTGTATTCCTCATAATATTTTTGTTCAGTTGCACGATCGATATCGCTTTGCATTGGCGGTGGTCGATCGATTGCTTTTTCAACCAAATACTTTTTCAAAATTTGATTGATTTCTTGCCATTCACCAATATTTTTCTGCAACTTATCTGTCCCTTCACTCGGTGTCATAATAACGAATTGGCTTTTTCGCATCCGAGCACGTCCTTTTCTCTGCATATACGATCGAAATGTTGTTGGTGTATCATAACAAATGACCAAATTACATTCTTGCAAATCAATTCCTTCTTCCAGTACTTTTGTGGCAATAATTAAATTGATTTCACCAGTTTTGAATCGATCCAAAACTCGTTTGTTATTTTTTCCTTTCATTTGCATTTCAATGGCATCGAGTGTTGCATTCCGACCAGTCATAAATTCCACTTTAATTTTAAGATGTGGTAATGCATTTGCATATCGTTTGATGACATGGCACAATATGCGAGCGCTAGACCTTCGATCAACAAAAATCAATCCTTTCATCGGTTCATTTGAATTTTCTTCGGCGAATTTCGTTAAACAACTCAACAATTTTTGCACTTGTGATGATGAATTATTCAAAATTGTCGCTGGATCATCTGAAATCGTTTGCTCGTCAAATTCGTCATCGGTTTGTGTCATTTGTTCAACTTTATTATTATAAATTTTACGCTCCATAATGTGTAGAATCGTTTCCAGAGCTATTAAAATTTTCATTTTGGATCTTCATTTGAAACAATGAAAAATATCGATTTTTGAAAAATCAAAATTTGTCTTACAAGTAATGAGAGCACGCGAAAGGTATCTGTTGTTACTTTTGATCGCTTCACGTTTTTTCAGTTCCATGTCCACAATTGCAGCCAAATTAGCCAGTGTTCCACCGTACAGTCCTGTCAAGATTTATATTTTATTGTGACATTCATCCAATTATTTCCTTAATTTCACAAACCTAAATTGTTTATTTGATAAATAAGTTCCGTGCAAATTTTTTCATACTTCGACATGTTTGTTGGTTGTTTATCCTTGAGGGGATCGTACATCAATCCGGGCGTAATATCGAAAGGCCATTTTTCAATCATTTGAATCATTGATCTGATCATTCCAATAATTTTCTCAAAATGTAATGTCATACGCTTCTCGTATTCGAGAATTGATTCATTTGGACAGGTTGAATACATGAGTACATCGCTATATGCTGCACCTTTGGCTGTCGTAATCGTTGCACGGAATGTTGCTTCTAATTTCTTTAAATTATTCATAACATTCCCTGGTTTAATCGATTTTGTGGTTAACATTCCCGTCAAGCCGATCACGCGTGGATGATCCGTTTCCGGATATTCTTTAAATTTTGCCATCAACAGCAACATTGGATGATCTTTATGTGCATTATGACATTCATCAAACACAATCAAATTGAAATCAGATATTTTTAAATGTCCATGACGCACAATGTCCAACACAATTTGAACTGTTGCAATAAGAACCTGTATTTTACAAATTCAGAAAAAAAATATTCTTGAAAAAATTTAGTGTTGAAAAATGCATAAAGAATTTAAATGTGAATAAATTACGTGATTTTGTTCAAATTCGTTCAACCACCTTTCGCCAGTCCATGCATCCACATTCATATCACCAGTGTATACTTGTACATTGAACGGTATTCTTTTCGAAATCTCTTCTTTCTGTTGATGTGCCAACGCAACTGTATTTGTAAGAAAAACGGAGCGTTTGCCACCTTCAGATATTGGCCTACAAAAAAAATTATTATAAAAGAAACAGTAGGCGTTGCTTTGTACGATCCACCATATACCAGATACTCTTTTAATATAAAAGGAGATAAAATACTTACTTTCCCAAATCTTTAGCAAAGTGCTTCAGTGCCATAATAGCAATGTAGGTTTTTCCGGCGCCGGTCGGCAGATAAACAATTGTATTGCGTTCGATACATGTTCTTAAAATTTCATCTTGGTAGCCTCGACTTTTGAATTCTTTTTGCTCATCACACTCTCTGTCGGAAGTTTCGCTTGTATTCTGATTATGAAGACGAAAACAATTAAAACAAACAATATTTTATACATTTTCTTCATTTCTATTTTTTTTTCATTAGAAAGTATAGCTGAAAAAAATCAACTGTCAAATAAATTTTCCAAAATAATATAGACACCTGAAATCAACTCACTTCGAATGACATTTTTGGTAATTTTTCGACATATAAATCAAAGTTGTTTTTTTTTTTAATTAATCACAAATCAACATTCACATAAATATGATTTAACAACACAAAACAAAACAATTTAAATTGTTATCAAGAGATGCAGAACGCAAATTATGAAGTATTTCACAATCAATGGATATAATTTCAACACCTATGTACGGATACATTCATTCTACAGATATTCTTGCTTGCTACTTGCGGTAGACTGGGTTCAACAATATGGGTACGTGTGCATGACGTCATTATTTTGTATGAGAATGCGTTTCAAAACCACAATCGCAATATTTAGTTATGTGCACACTGCACACATGTGTGTAGAGCATATCACTATGTCTCTTTTTGTGTGAATATCGTTCTGTGTCGCCGCATACAGCTTGTATTTTGACTTTGTTTATAGAAAAAAAAGAGCGGTACAATTCGAAATAAAACCGAAAAATTGAGAATTTGTCAATGCCAAAAACTTTTAATTCAGTCTTGCAAAATTGTTGATATTTTTGTAGATTTTTTTAATCGCATTCTTTGTTAAATGGGTAACATATATTTATAATAATTTTTAATCAATCGTTAGTACTTCGTTTTGCGATAGCTAATTTACTGAGAAGTTCGTAAAAGTTTGACACAAATGATCAACAAAATAAAAAAATATGAAATAAAAACAAGAGAATTACACACAAGATATTCAAAAAAAAAAAAATGTAACGCCAAACAAAGACTAACGGAATATAGAGTAAGTGTGTGAGTGAAACAGTGTTGTTACTTCTGATTACATACATATTTTTAACAAGACTGGCTTGACCCATAAAGTCTGTAATCGGAATTCATTTCATTACAATAATCCTGCTGAACGCGATCACAACAGAATCAAACTGCGGCTGCGAAGAAAATAAAATTCATAAACATGTTCAAACGAAATTCTGTATATTTTTTCGTTTCTTCGATCATCTTACTCACTGGTAAGTGCTTTTTATATTATTGTTTTTGGATTGTTTGCCTATTTTCTTCAATTTAACTTAGAATTGGTGATGGATGTCAAAAGTTTGACTCTCAATCCATTCACAGACATCAACCATATTCAGGACCAGGTTTTATTCTCTAACATTTCCGTTCTAGTTTTCGTACGTTGTTACACGTAACAAATATACAAATGATGATCGTTTTTAGATGCTTAAATTCATGGTCGGATTTTGAAAAAAAGTACATTTTAAATATTTTTCCAAAAAAGTGATTTTCAATAATTTTAAAGTGTTACAAAATGAAAAATGATTTCATTTTTGTTATCACATCATTTTAAGGTCTTTGAAATGATGTCAAAAGGTTGTTGTTGAAGATTGTTATTGTTTCTGTTCACAGTCTTTTTTTTCTAACAGATAACTCCATCAATTAAGTTCATAAGGTCCTTTAAAACATTGCAAAATAATAATATTCTAACACACAATCATTTTGATATTCTATTTACAGCTGAAATTCAATGCTTTGATAATAATGACTTGACTGCCAGTTTGAATACTATAAATTCATATGCTACGCCAAACTCGATTGATAGTTTCAAAAATGTGACAAAGGAAAAGTGTTTGAAAGTTTCGGGTAATATTGCTGCCTACGACGCCATCGAACGGTCTGTGGGTGAATTGAAAAATTGTATGTCAGGTTTGATTGATTTTAGTTTGTTGCACAAAGAAATCGAAGATGCAAAACCCACTGGCGAATTGGACACTGTATTCAATAAGTAATATTCCTAAAAAAAATTAGAGAAAGTCTTTTTTTCTCAAAACGTATGTTTTATATCATATTTCAGATACTGCCGAAAACGAGATATAGCTATTGGATGCTTGGAAAATTTTACAACAACCTTGAATCCTTGCCTGGAGCCAGACGAAATCAATACCAAAGAAACAATTGTAAACATTTTCAAAGGCATCTTAAAGTTCGTTTGCTACAAAGACGGTGATCAAATTGCATTGTTCATAGGTGAATATTGTTGTTATTAATTAGCATAATTAGTTGCTTCTTATTAATTAGCATTTTCACGAAAAGCTGAAAAAGGACCTGAATGTTTCGAAAAGAGCAAAGATGCTTTGCTTAGTTGCAAAGACTCTTTGGTTAATAGTTACATGCCTTCGGGAACTGCTACTTCGGGAAGTAATCAATTGAATATTCCAACTGAAATTCCACAATTCGTTATTGGCGAAAAGCAATGCCAGTAAGCACGATTTTATTGAAACAAATGTAATTATTTTCTAAATAAAACAATTGTAATAATTTCAGAGCAATGGATACGTTGCAGACATGTGCTGTTGCAGCGTTGGAAAAATGTGAAGAGTCAACACCAGCCAATTTAGTTGATGCATTATTTAAATTTATTCGCAAAGAAACACCATGTGCCAATATAGCTCGAAGCAATTAAAATTATTTCATATTCAAACTTTATTGGATTTGAGGTGAAAAGTTACAACAGTTTCTATCGTAATAATTCAATTACAATATGTTAAATATGTACAACTTTCAATTTTTCAATAAAATAATCTCCTAGGGGAATTTATCTGTTCGCGAATATATATTATTCGATGGTACATATACTATGCATATTTTATGCATATCCATACTTAGTAGTTATACTCCTCGATCACATTTGCTAATAATATATTCGTAACTAGTTTCAATACTAAGTTCCCACTAGTTCCTTTTTGTTTTTTATAAATGACGTCTTTTATTCTAATTATTTTACCACGTCAAAAGTAGTACGAATGTAATTCAATTGAAATTGGAATTCTGATATTATAATATAGAATGCAACTCGACGCAAAGCCATTCGTAATCTATAGAATTTTTATCAATCATCAAATCTTGAGCAAGAAATAATACTCTTATTTGTAAATGTGTTAATCAAAATTACATGCATTGAACCAAAATCAGTCTGTTATACACATTTTTTTAAATAACATATTTGACGGCGATTTATTATAACGACATTTTTTTATTATAACGACAACTTTTCCCTTGCAAATAATTCTGATAATTATCTAAAAAAAAATTCAAGAACGATGAAAAAAACAGAAAATATAAAATAAAGTTTTTCTCTTAAAAAAAAAGAAAAAAAAAAAAGGAAAATTGTGCCAACGACACATGGTGTTCCCAGACGGTCACCCATTCAAGTACTAACCATGCTCAATGCAGCTTAACTTCAGTGATCGGACGAGAACTGGTGCTTTTTACATGATATGGTCGTTGACAAATGAAATACTCAATTTACGCAATATGTATTGTTCAAAACGACAACTGTATAAAATTGTAAACTTTAGGTACATTCTGAATTGACTTCTTATGACTATCAACATATATTTGCAATCATAAAATCTGTTTATCTCTATCACATATATCTAGTACGAGCAAGATGTAATCTACAACCAAAAAATACACTGTTGTGACGGAATACATTTTTTGTTTATCTTTAATGCTTGATCTGTGTCAATTATGTAATTTTCCAATTCACGTATGATCGTATTATTATGGAAAAATCTAATCACCTCGCGGATTAAATTACAGATGTGTGAATAGCTTTTCTTGAATATGTATAATGCCATAATCACTGACTTTTTTGTCATTTAATATTCACAAGTCCTCGGTAGTATAGTGGTCAGTATTCCCGCCTGTCACGCGGGCGACCGGGGTTCGATTCCCCGCCGGGGAGGATATTTTTTTCCATATTTTTGCCATTTTTGTTCGTAAATTAGTTTATACTTCGACTTCGTCATCGTTGTCTTCATCTCCTTCACAAACTTATACAATTTTGCAAGTAGATTAAACGTTGTCAAACAACCACAAATTGTTTAATTTTGTCAATAATACCCGATATTTAATTCACCTGTTGAATTAGATGCGTCATCATTCATATGAAATTTGAAATGTTGGCATTTTCGTTCAAATAAAACACGAAAACATTTTTCTTCATTTCAATAATTTATTTTGGATAATTTTATCTACATTGACATTGGTATCAAGTGAAATTTCTGTTGGTTTATTACTGACCATGAGCATCAAACTCCAAAATCAGAGAGAAATGTACATTTCAATAAATCATTTTTTGGATTGTTGTTTGGCAGCATTTTTCTTGGCAATTTTAACAAATTGTTTGACCATTGATGTGCCTGGTAAAAGTGGTTCTCTTTTCCCGAATAAGTCCAACCTCATGCCTACCAAAAGCTCTGCCCAAAGGAAGCGTTTTTTGTTATATTGTCGTAGAATCTCTTTGATCTGTGTCAGATGTTCAACTAATTTTGCGTGCTTCGATGATAATGGAATCAAATGCTTTATTACATCTTTTGTTTCGGCCGATTCTTTTGTTAAAGCCATGTTTTCGCAAATTGATTTGAAAGGTTCGATGTCTGCTTAAATGCTTCTTTCTTCTCTTTTTACTTCATCCAACATAGCATCGAAACTATATGACAATTGTATGTATTCGTGTTCCATTGTGTCTAATTTCTTTAAAATTATTTCAGCATGCGTTTCACTTGGAGTATTAACGAGCCATTGCTTATATGAGACATCGAATTCTTTATCGAATTTATTTGGCGCGTGCATCGAAATTTTTTCAACAATATCATCATACAATTTCTTAATAACCACAGAACGTGCGTTATTAATTGAATCAAGTTCAGTGCACATTATATTTTTTGCATTCTTTCCTTCAATTTTCAAACTCACTGGTGCACTTCGGTCGCCAGTTTTGTCCACTCAAATTGGATAATTTCCACTCGAATTGAATTTTTTTCCACTCGATTTGGATTTTTTCCACTCGAATCGTATTTTTTTCCACTCGACTCGAATATTCTCTACTCGATCGTTTCCACTCGAATCGAATATTTTCCACTCGAGTTGGATATTTTCCACTCGATTGGGTAGAAAATTCACTCGAGTTGGATTATATCCACTCGATTCGAATTTTTTTCACTCGATTTTTTCCACTCGAATCAGATAATTTCCACTCGGTTTGAATTTTTTCCACTCGAATTAGATATTTTCCACTCGAATCATAATTGAATTCTCTAGAATAAATACAGCGTATGATACGGTCGTACACCAAAGGTTGTTTTTACATACATTTTTTGCTGTATTTTGTATGACGGTGTTTCGCTTTGAAATGCAACCTTTTCATACGCTGTTTTTATTCTATAGCAATCAATTATTACCACTCGAAACGGATAATTTCTAATTTTCAAGCTTTGGCAATATTTTTCAGGTCATAACATAATTAATCAGTCACATGTATTAATAATACTTACATGTTTTCTTGCGATTCTTTTTTGTTACACTCGAAAGAATTAGAATTTTCTTTGAAATTATATTTTCCTCAGCCCAATGATATATATCTATGCTTAGTTCATTCAAATGGGCAGGCAGGGGTAGAGAGAACATTACCCACATTTCCACAGCTATCAAATTTTTCCATTACCCCCCATTTCTACCTATGAGTTTTCCAGTCTGAATTACCGTACAAAAAGCAAAAAATGCAGAACACTCAAAATCAGAAAATGCTACCGAAAACATTACAATTTTTTCCATTTGAAAGAACTGGTATACGTCATCTACTTCACTTTCGTGCTAGCTCGTTCGATCTTGTGTTCCATTTTCATGACTCTCTCACTTTTTAATTTAATTTGGCTTAGGGTTCGGAAAAAAATGGGAGAGGGTGCTTAGAATGGAATACAAGACCGAACGAGCGCGCGCGCTCTCCCATTTTTATTTTCATTCAACTTGACTTTGGGGTCCGGAAAAAATGGGAGAGAGTGCATAGAATGGAACACAAGACCTTCACTCGCGCGCGCGCGCTCGTTCGGTCTTGTGTTCCATTCTATGCACTCTCTCCCATTTTTATTTTCATTCAACTTGGCTTTGGGTTCCGGTAAAAATGGGAGAGAGTGCATAGAATGGAACACAAGACACTCCACATTTATTTGCACCGTCTACACAATGTGAGCCGTGCTTGGGGTGAACCACCATAGTTTATTAGGTAAAATTAGATCGATACTAGAAATTAGAATCGTTTTGAACAGGAATTGAAAGCAACTGGAATTCACGAAACAATCATCTATCTGCTAATTTTTTCAATTTTCATATTTTGTTTTTGGTTTGCAATTATTTCTCGTTTTTTATTTATAATTTATTAATTTATAAATTTATAAATTAGGTGTGGATAATTGGATATTTATTTCCGTTGTGAGATTAAATTCAGTGCATCTTTTACAATGAGGAGAGCAAATATGAATTGTCATTTTGTTTGAACAAGTTCCTAATATAGGAACTAGCGCCACCGCATTTACATTTGGTTTGCACATAGCGGCGACAATAAACACTATATTCAATTCACCCAAAATATTAGAAGAAATTAGAGGCACATTAGTGTAAATGGGAGGCACCTTTATTTTTAGTTGAAATTTCCTTCATACTAGTATCTTGAATCTGGGGACTATAAGACATGTTTTCTCATTGGCCACCAAATTGTGCCAAAAATGTTCAGCTCAATAAATGTTCAGCCCTAATAATCAGCTCAATAAAACGTCCGCTAACTTTTATTGAAATTTCTTCAAACTTTCAGAATGTTATTTTTTAACGCCAAATTTTCACACGACAGACATGACTGCGAAAGTGTATTCACATTTTTTTGGACTTTTATATGAAAAGCATCGAAACTTATTTGTATCGCAAAACTAAAATTTTTAAGAGTTTTCAAGAATATACATTTTCAGACCTTTTTCAGTATTGCTATAACCTGAAAAATATTGCCAAAACTTGAAAATTAGAAATTATCCGTTTCGAGTGGAAATAATTACGATTCGAGTGGAGAAAATTCAAACCAAGTGGAAATTATCTGATTCGAGTGGAAAAAATCGAGTGAAAAAAATTCGATTCGAGTGGATTTAATCCAACTCGAGTGAATTTTCTACCCAATCGAGTGGAAAATATCTAACTCGAGTGGAAATTACTCGATTCGAGTGGAAAAAATCTTATTCGTGTGGAAAAAATCTTATTCGAGTGGAAAATATCCGAGTCGAGTGAGAAAAAATCTAATTCGAGTGGAAATTATCTGATTCGAGTGGACGATGAACCAAAGCGAGTGGAAAAAGATTTTAACCGTGCACTTCCAACCATCCTTTCTGTTTCCGTTTTGTTCATAAGCACTTCGGGATGAACAAGAAATTTCTCATAAATCGATGTCATGTCGGCGCGTATGTTGACCATAAATCTCAACATCCCATTCAGATTACTATTGAGGTATTTGGTTTTGGCATAAACATTCTCCACCAAATCATAAAATGTTACATCTGTATCGGCTGCATTTCCGTGGGCACAATTCACCACCTTGTCAAGTAAATAGAAAAGAAATTAAACGATTTTATTTATTTTGCTTTTCGTTTCAATTTAATTCGTACCTGTACGAACACAAGAAGCGACAAAAGTAATACAAATATGATTGGCTTCATTTCTTTGGCTCACCTCTATTCAGATATAAAAATATAAATGAGTTTCAGAGAATTTTCTACCCTTTATATTCATCGTTTTAAACACAATTATTACTTACACGTGTCAATTAGGACACACAGTTTTTCTTTATCGATATGAAATATTTTTTGTTTAAAAAAATATCGATGAATTTTTATTCAAGTAGAAACAGAACATTTTAAATAAAAGAATTTATATTTGACGCTTGTTTACAATCCAAGCACAAAAACTTTCTTTGTGGAAAAATTCATTTACAAAGTTAGGAAAAACAAGCAGAAGATCATCTGAAAACTTCTATCAATGGTATTAAATTGCCTGATGGAGACCTTCGTGATAGATTACATAAATACGCCCAGACATTAGGTGCATACTTTGTCCAGAATATTTCCGACTTAGAGACATCTTATGGACAAGAGTATCAGTGCGTTTTTGGGGAAAATGATCGTGTAACCAGTGCAAGTACTCGAACGGAAAAACACCCGTTTGAATTTTATCATCCGGATAAATATAAATATGGAGCTAATCAGAAGGACTTTGAATCCTATCGACATGCACTTCAATATAAATACAGCGCCTTTAAGCAATGGGAATAGCTACAAGGACGTTTGTTGATTATCAAAGATAAAATTGTTTTTATTTCTTAAATGATACGTTTCTTTGGTTCGAAGTCCGAATGTGGAAGCTATAAAGCAATAAATGAATAAAGAAAAAAAATAAATGCAAAAACAAACAATTCGTTCAATCCGATTTAAATTTTATTAGACACTCAATTGTTCTGTTTTGCAAAACCGACTGTTTTCATATCGCGCGTGTTTATTTCGTCACGATATTTATTTTTAAAAATGGAAGTACACGAATGCATCGCGGATATAAATTACCTACCAACAGAATAGCTTTTCAAACAGTCAAAATCCATCTAGCTTGCAGTCAAAGCGAAGTACGCTGTGCAAATTTATTGAAAACGTCGAAATGTACATTATCAAATTGATCGCGATCGGTCTAGCAATGTTGGTGCTAGTGCTTTCTCAACAGCCTGAGGTAATTTTACCAGCTAGAATTGTATTTGTGTCCGAATTTATTTGTTACAAGCATTTTTAAATTATTTAAATTTTCTAACGAAGCGTATACTGTGGGAAATACTAGGTTAAATATTTGATAAGATAGAACTCCAGAATTAACAAAAATATATGCAAAATATACTGTAGCAACTGTCAACAGCCAATATTTTTCATATATTATTTTATTTTGTTAGTTATTCATGATAGTGATTGTATGTTAAGCGTTTCCGATTTTGTTTCTCTCTGATATTTTTTTACATACATTAATTTGAATTTTTTGTGGAATTTCACTTTAAAAACTCAAATCCACACCAGATAGAAGCAAAATCCACACCAGATAGATTAGCCCAAGTGATAGAATTTACTTTTAATTCGTTTTGTTTTCATTTGTTTTCTTAGCAGAATTGTATATGTACCATGGATTATAAGCCTGTATGTGGCTGTAATAAAACCACATATCCAAATGAATGCGCTTTAAAATGTGCAAAGGAGCCGAAAGCCTGTGACGGGGCATGTCCTTGTCAAAATTATAATAATTGTTGATGGACAAGCAAGATAAATAGCAAAATATTAAATTGCAAAGAATTTCCAACAAATAAATAATCAAAATTTAAAACCAATGTTGGCATTTTTATTTGTCTTTCTTTCTCACATTTTGCGTTATTTTAGAAGTTTCACAGACTTATTTGGAGATTTATTTTTAAGCCTCTAGTGCATAGCCCTGCCTTTAGGCAGGGTGTATAAGTTATTGTCTAAAATATATAATAAAAAACAAATGATTCTATTTATGATTTAAAATATATTCAGCAGGGTTCAGGCTTTCAGTTGTCGGTCATTTGACAAGTGAAAATAAAGCGGTTGTTTAATTATACACACAGATGTTTAACCCTCTAATGCATTAATTTTTTTTCAACATGAGAGCTATTCTTCTATGATTGTTTTGGTTCTTAAAAAAATAATCGAAATTCAAAAAATTGCATAGTTTTCTCAAAAAATGTCATTGACAAAATTGGAGAACAATCAAAACCATTGTTTAAACTGCTATAAAATTGCTATAAACGAAGAGAGAGATATTTTTTTTTGTCAAATTTCTGTTTTCACGTACAACCGTGTTTATAATTAAACAACCGATTTACATCCAATTGTCAAATGACCGGAAAATGAAAGCCTAAACCTTACTGAATGTATTTTAGTTCATAAATAAAATCATTTGTTTTCAATAATTTATACACTCCGCCTAAAGGTAGAGCTATGCACTAGAGGGTTAATTATAAACACATATGTACGCGAAAACAGAAATTTGATTAAAAAAAATATCTCTCTCTTCGTTTATAGCAATTTTATAGCAGTTTAAACAATGGTTTCGATTGTTCTCCAATTTTGTCAATAGCATTTTTTGAGTAAACAATGCAATTTTTTGAATTTCGATTATTTTTTTAAGGAATTTTAAACCAAAATAATCATAGAAAAATAGTTCTCATGTCGAAAAAAAATTAATGCATTAGAGGGTTAATAAAACCATTAGCTTACATTAAATCGTTTGATCTCATTTTATTTGGGTTCGACATTCGTGAACAACAAACATTTGATGTGTTGCAAGATTTGTACTGCTACCACTTTTTTTAAAAAAGGATTTTGATTCAAAATCAAATTTCAATGCGTAAAAACACTTGATTTCAACTTTAAAATTGGAATTTTGATTGGACAAAGATTTTGTTAAAATATATGCATCATCTGTTTTGAAAGTCAGCAGACATTGAAATAAACAAATGGTTTTGAATTAACTCAATGAATATGGAATCGTTCCATTGTTTGCGCAGACATTTGCAAATAAAGATCTATTTCGGAGTTATTTTCACTGCAAAAGTCTTATACTATATATCATGTATTTAGCTTTGGTTCGCCCTTTTTTGAAGTTGAAGATCTTTCTTGCTATTCAATTCTTAAATAACCTATCTAAGCTAGAGAGAAATAACGACGCTGGTACACCGTAACTATTGAACATAGATGCTAGCATAAGTCAAAGATTACCGATCCACTTCAGAAAGTTTTCTCAATTTCTCAATTGTAGTAAAAAGATCTTATTTCCAATTTTTTTATGAAAGAAACTAGGAAGTGCCTACTATCACGATCCTACCACAATATTTATTCTAAAAAAGATGAATTTTAAAGATTCGAAACTTAAATAAGCTCAATGTTCAGAATATCTTTAAAAGCTTTTTTAAACATAGAGCTTTGATAAGTGGAGTGAGTCTTGGAAAAATCGTCATTTTTGAACGTTTGGGCCAATTTTTGTTGTTGAAAATAGGAAATTTCCATGTACAATACTGTAACGTTTTATAAATGAATAAAGAAATAAATGCAAAATGTTGTTTTTGTTTAACCAATGTTCCATTTTAAAGGAGATGCATTTAATTGTTTTATTTTGTAAATAAAAACATCTATTTTTAAATTAAATATCGGCAAAACATTTTATTTCATCAAAATATTTATTTGTAAAAATGAAATTACGTCAATTGAGCTTCGGATATAAATGATTGTCTATCGCCGTACATATCTGTAAATAATCATTCAAATTAAGAGACAAAACGAAGAAAACTGTAAGAGTTTATTGAGAACATCAAAATGGTTGTCATCAAGTTGATCGCGATTGGCCTATCGATTTTGGTGCTTGTGTTTTCCAAACAATGTGAGGTAACTCTAATATGGAATAGTAGTTATAAGAGACTCCAACGAAAGTTCAATTAATCTCATTTCGTTTCTTTTTTTCTTCTAAGCTCGATTATCCGCCATGCATGTGTACTGCTGATATAAGACCTGTCTGCGGAAGTGATGGATGTACCTATAATAATATATGTGAATTAGAATGTGCTAAATGTTATTATCCAGATCTGTATCTAGCTCATAATGGAACATGTGAATGCATTTGCACAGCTATATCAGAACCGGTTTGCGGTACAGATGGCAAAAATTACGAAAATCCATGCGAACTAAATTGTGCTGCAACTGCAAACAATGATCCATGTTTGACTATTGACTGCTATGGACAGTGTCCTTGTATAGAAGACAGTAATTAAGTAATATTTCTTGCATTATTACAATTAAGAAAATATGTCAGCATTGTTTGAAATTTTTAAAATTTTGCTCAAAATGTATTCAAACATTCATTATTACGTTTATTTAATAAATTCCATTCATGAATTTAGATCAATAAACGGTAAATAATGCAAGCGATTGAGAAATAACAGCATGTATTAAGGACCAGAACAAATCGTCGTAAAATTTAAATTTTGATAAAAAAAATGTATTGTATATGCTCTGTTTAGAAATAAAATCTAGTTTTAATATTAAAAACACGCACATTTGATGAATTCTTCAAAGAAATACATGAGATTGTATCAAGGCGATAAACGGCATAGAAAGCGTTTTAGATAAAACGTCACACAGCATAACGAAATGAACATACGAAATGATCAAGTTTGACATATTGTTGTTAATGTTACAAAAACATGACACAATCATTGATATCTCTAGCTCTTTTAGAAATCATCTTAAAAACTTCCAGACAATATATGTATTGAACTAACTGGTCAACTGAGCTGACGTACGTTAGCCAGCTAAATGGACTAAAACAATAAAAGTTATTGTTATAATGATGAATCAATTCTATTGTTTTAATAAAAGTAATTGATCATTATAACAATAACTTCTATTGTTTTAACCCATTTAGCTCGCTTACATACTGTCAGCTCAGTTGGCCAGTTAGTACAATATATTGTCTGAAAACTTCTTCATATCAAAGGTTTTATTATATTTACGCATCGAATTAATTGTAGGTAAGTGGACTGAATCACAAAATGTGTTTCGTACGTTATAAAATACGATGTTTTAAATATCAGTGATGAAATTCACAACTCCTTACAAAAGTATTGAAAAAATGAAGAAACCATTGAATTTTTAAAATTACTGTATTAATTATTATGAAATTAGTTCCATCTGAAATTGAATGTGTCCGAATAAAAAATCAACTTCGCATTTCACCTCTTGCTCTCTCCTGAAGGATTTTCCATAAGTGTGAGCAGGATGTGAGATATGAAGTTGAGTTTTATTCTGACACATTCAATTGTGCTCTTAAAAAATTCGTTCTTTCAAACACTTTTGTTTAAAACTCGTCCTTTGATTTTGTTTTTTATCTGTCCATTTTAATGACAGACTATGAAAAAAGTGACTGTATTTTTTTTTTTTTAATGAATCACATTTTCGATGATTCCATCTGTTTACCAGAAATCACTATAATGTAATTTTGAGTATTTACATGGGGATTCTCGGTAATTCCGTATGTTTATGAAATTAAGTCTTTAATTAAAAAAAAAAAAACGATGGAAGATCATGAAAAGAGGGCATTCAGAAAAGATAACTGTTAGTATAAATTAGAGTAAAAAACATACAAAAGGGCTTTAAGAAGAAGAATTTAGGCTTTAAAAGTAGAAGAGACGCAATCGTAATATGCTTAACTCAAGGAATATAGCATGATACGTATCTTTAATAAATAACGTGATATCGTTGGTACTCCTAAACTCTCTTATCAAAATATTTGAATTCATGACATTGGCCATTCCCACTTTTGTTGACACCCAATCAATATAAATACGTTTTGAGTTGATTGTCTACACGTTATAATCAATTCTAAGTACTTTCAAGCATCAAAAACGTGCATTTTGGATTAATTTTATAAGCCTAGACCTCATTTTCATGTAAAAAACGTGATTTTAAATTAAATATTGAGACCTGGACTCGTGCTTATTAAAGACGGGATTGTTTAGCCAACAAACATTAATTGTATTTCCGTGTTTAATGAGAACAACTTTTGCTCTGTATTGAGAACGGTTAACTTAGATTTTAGTTTAAAATTTTGGAGCTATTATTATTTAGATTTGCTAGTTTAATGCTGATTATTAAATGAAATTGTAATGACGTAGGGTAATATTTGTTCAAATACAAATGTGTTTTTGTTTTTAACGACTATTAATCAATTTTCTTTTTAAAAAAATTTAGTTGCCATGCGAAAACAATAAGTTACATATTAAAAAAGAAGAAATCCATTATCAATCTTAATTTTCATTCTAAGGAAACCAATTGAGTTCATTTTTTGTGCCGGTTGCCGGTTATGTTATAATACAAAGATATAAAATAGACTATATAGTCATATAAACACAGCAAAATTCAATACACATCATACTATGCCGTGAGTTCTATTTACGAGTGTAAAAGCAGCACGCGGCTTCGCATTTGATTGTGTATGTGCGCAAAACAGCTGTTGAACATTTGAATATTGGCATGTGGTTATACACACGAGAAATCACGAGTTGCTCTCTGTATTGGAGCGAAACAGCTCTATTGCAAACATACATTTGTTTCACTCTACTGTAGCGTAGACACTTGTAGAAAATTGCAATATATGTATTATAACCATTTATAGTATGGGCGCATAATAGAAATATTTTGTTTAAGAAAAATATCTACGGTGTACGTTTCGTCAGTGTATTATTCACACATCATCAAATAAGAGTGGTGACAAATGCGAAAACCTAGGTTCTCCAAATCCAAAGTTATTTCGAACGAATTCGTTTCACTCAGTGTGTTCATTGCATCATCCAATACACGTTGATATTACATAGACAGTTTCTTAGAAGTTTTGGTTTTCATTCTCGTCGAATTCGAATTTTTTTTGCTGTTAAAATTACCGTATTTGCGTTCAGCTGCACGTTTTTAACTTGACTTCCCTTATAAATTGGAATCACAAACGTGCAACATTTTAGTCATTAATAGCCCTGCAATCGTTTAGGATGCTCATAAGCCGAAACTCTTCCTCACGTTCAATATATAATTTGATCGACATTTATTAGTTAAACGTGAACTTGAAATAATATCCCAAGAAAGACTTATTTTCTTTATTGTTTGAATTTTTGTGTAATTTTTTGTAAAACGTGCATGTGTTATGTGTGTGTATAAGTTTTTATTGCAATCTTTCGGTAATATTTCAACACATTATCGAGAATAGCACAGTTTTTTTGCACGATATTTATTCAATTCAAACTGTGCACCACGGAAATTAAGTTGAAAAAAAAAATAAAAAATAGAAAGAGAAAAACCACGACAATATGGGTTTATTTGAAACATTGTCGCGAAAGAAGCCAATAAGCGATTCTTCGCCTACACAATTGGCCAAAGTATTGTCTGCACTTGATTTGACGTTGCTTGGCATTGGCAGTACACTTGGAGTTGGTGTTTATGTACTGGCCGGTCAAGTAGCCAAAGAGAAAGCAGGACCAGCGGTCATCTTTAGTTTTATGATTGCGGCAATTGCAAGTGTTTTGGCGGGTCTATGCTATGCAGAATTTGGTGCAAAAGTTCCACGAGCTGGTTCCGCCTACGTGTACTGCTATGTAACAATTGGTGAATTTATCGCATTCATTATCGGATGGAATTTAATTCTGGAATATTCAATAGGTATATTTAATTCATTCAAAAATTTAGAAGTAGTTCTACGTGTTGTTTTCATTTTCTTTACTTTTTTATCTGAAAATTCAATGAAAAAAATGTATTGCTTTGGATTTTTAGCAATGGTTATCAGATCAAACAAGATTCAAAGCTATAAAATTCAATGTCTAATACGTTTACTAAGTTATTTTTATTGTAAATTTTTTTAAGGTGCTGCAAGTGTTGTAAAAGGATTTAGCACATACGTGAATTCATCGACTGGCATAAATAATTTTATGATTGAGTATATGCCTCTCAATGTGCCGGGGTTATCTCAATTTCCAGACGTTTTTGCATTCATTGTGACCATAATCTTTTCATTGGCCGTCGCATTTGGAGCAAAAGAATCATCGATTTTGAACAATATTTTTACGTTCCTCAATTTATCGGTGGTATTATTTGTCATCATTGCTGGCAGTTTTAAAGCGAATGCATCAAATTGGAGTATACCAGCTGTAAATGTGCCGAATGGTACTAAAACAAATTATGGTACTGGTGGATTTATGCCGTACGGATTTACGGGCATTTTGAAAGGTGCTGCAACGTGTTTTTACGGTTTTATCGGTTTTGATTGTATTGCAACTGCTGGTGAAGAGGCGAAAAATCCAAAACGATCAATGCCAATTGCAATTATTCTTTCATTGTTAGTCATCTTTTTGGCCTACTTTGGCATTTCAATCGTTTTAACAATGATGCTGCCATACTTTGATCAGGATGTAAACGCTCCATTGATCTATGTATTCGATCGAATCGGATGGACAGTGCCGAAATATATTGTTACAATTGGTGCGACATTCGGTTTGATGGCCAGTTTAATGGGTGCGATATTTCCTTTGCCACGTATCGTGTATGCGATGTCAAACGATGGTTTAATTTTCGAGTGGTTGGGTCGCATTCATCCGCGATTCAAAACACCATTGTTGGGAACACTTTTTATTGGCACATTAACCGGACTGTTGGCTGCATTCTTCAATTTATCGCAACTAGTCGATATGATGTCGATTGGAACGTTGATGGCTTATTCAATTGTGGCCGCATGCGTTCTTTTACTACGTTATGAATTCGATGCCGAAGCTGAAAAACCGAATGAATCAGCGCCATTTTTTCAAAACATGAATCGATTGCTATGGAACTTGGATAATTCAAAAACACCAACCAAACTCACTGCAAACATAGTTACATGGGCGGTTACTGCTTTTTGTAAGTTTTTCAACATCCCAAAACAGAATTAAGACAAAAAATAAATGGAAAATACTAAAAAAAAATTTATTCTTTTGTTTAGGTTCCGTTTGCATTTTATTTGCATTGGTCATTGAAAAGTGTTCAGATAAATTACTCGATTCGGTTTGGTGGTCATGGACACTTTTAGGAGTCATTGGTCTGATCATGATATTGATTTTATTTGTGATTTCACGCCAACCCACCGCAAGTACCTACCGCAGTGACTCATTTAAGACCCCTTTCACACCGTTTTTACCGGGAATTTCGATTATCATAAATATGTATCTTATGTTTATGCTTGATATTATGACATGGATTCGATTTGTCGTGTGGATTGTGATGGGATTGACAATCTATCTATCGTATGGCGTATGGAATAGCAAAGAACGTCGTCGTCATCGTCGCCAACAACAAGCCTATGTGAACGACATAAAAAACGAAGGCAGTCCATTTATAAGCAATAAAGAAACAGTTCTGGTACAATAGAAATTGTGCTGAATTTCAATTTTAAACACAGATATTTTTTTGACAATATACATACTTTCATATTAGTTATTATTAGTATTAGAATCCTTTCAACTCTAACCGTATTTTCCAGAAAATCTGTCAGTCAATCAATCGAAAATTAATAAAAACGAGAAATATTCTATTTTGCAAATTATCAAATGCTTACGTCAATTTGGGTGTGCTATGTCAATTCGTATATGCGTAAATGATAAATAATGTGATAAAAAAAACAGTTCAAGAACGATCAAAACTCATACAAATATGCCTAATTTTTTTTAAATGCTGTATGAATTTTGTATTTGTATTTTTCACAAACCATTCACAAAAAAAAAACTGACAACTCAAGCGAAAAACTATTTCTTGCGATAACGTTTCATTCAATGTATATATTTCATCAGCCAATTTATTATAAATACATTATTACTGAATTGGCGGTTGAAGTTTTCAAAAATGTTTTAATTTCATTTCGTCCAAATTACAATACCATATTTTGTGGTAAACAATTTGGTTTATCGGTTGTCGCGTCGTCAGATTATTGGTAAATTATCTAATTTATTTGCGGCTTTCAAACGTAGCCAAAGACAAATTAAATTTTTATCAATTGATTCCATTACAGACATGTACAAATAAAAGACGATTTTTTAATTATTTTGATTGAATGACGAGACGTTATATTTCATTCATGTTTTGCAAGAGTTCATTCTACTAACCGTACGATGAAACGAAATCGTTTAAAAAGGCCTACACTCTCCAGCAAGTCACTTTCGAGTATCTTATTGAAACCTATACCATTTTTTTGTGCATAATTTGTGCGAATTTGTGCATGCATTTTTAGAATTTGTGCATAAATGGTTGATGAGTTATTCAGCTTTATATTTTGTGGTGAATTTCGGTTTTGGATGCAATTCAACATTTTTCTATGGCCAAAAAATCGGAAAAATTTTTGTGCCATTTTTTTGTGCATAATTTGTGCATGCCAAATATGCCTTCGGATCGGTCGTACACTGCAAAAAATGCATCAAAATCGATTTGACGTCGATTTTCCCACACAAATTCACCACTTTTTTTTAAATAATTGGAAAAATAAAAAAATTTCTTTACCATTTTTTTGTGCATAATTTGTGCATAACAAATTCACATCGCACCGAATTTG